TTTCTTGTATTTATTTTAGCTTTTTTATTTTAGTAGTCCTCTAGAATGGTGTAAATATTTGTTTATCCATTCCTTTAGGTCTATTTTTTGTATTACTTGTCTGCACCATACACCAAAGCAAATCCCTACTTGGCTTTGCTTCTTACAAGGGCAATAAAAACAATGATTCTGATTCAATCTTTTATAACATTTTAGGGCTCCACCTGTGTGTTTCTTTTACCTCAAATTTCCATGATTTTATTCAAATGTTTTTTAATCCCTCTAACTAGTTCCTACTTCCCAGCTCCCAATACTAGTCACTATAGTCTTCACATGTCTCTGTCACATATTTAGACAAGCTTCAAATGACGACTCACAAAACTCTTTATGATCATGAAAACAAAAACATGTTTTCAAACCAGATGAAGACGCAATGCTGTGGTCTGATTAGTTCATTTTGCTTTTAACAAAATCTCTTTCTGTTGGGACAAACAACATTCTGTTATTTATGAAACAAAAGCTTCTTTTCATTGTGTTTATCCTGTATCATCAGCCTAATTTACACATGTATGTAAACGATAAGTTGTCTAATAAGATACCGTGTTTTAGGGGTGTGAATTGCCTACATATCGCACTTACGTCACGATACAATGAATGACCACGCTTTCTTGAGAAACTTTTGTTGTGTTGTAGACATGTGATCCCCTTACATCAGACCAGACCAACCACGCACCTCCTCTATTTGTATTGACAACAAGCCAAAAGCACAGAAAGAAAGGCCAAGTCCTCATCTGTGTCTGTTTGGAGAAGCCAGAGTGAGGTTTGAGGAGGGTCCACTCACCACAGTGACCGCATCGTTGAAGAGACACTCCCCAAACACCACGATGTAAAGCTGCTCGTTCACTGAAATGTCTTCAAAAACATTCAACACGGCCACAGGGTCCACGGCCGAGATGATGGTGGCGAACAGCAGGTTCTCCTGTAGGTTTATGTCCTGAACTCCGAACGCTTCTATCTGGCATATGGCGAAGAGAGACATGCCGATGCCAATGCTGTTCCAGAGAGTGCCTACCACCGCAAACCAGAGCACCTGAAGCACAGAGGAAAGACAGAATGATAAATAATGAATAATAGTAAATATTTGTTTGTATTTTACTTTTCTAAAACAGTCTTGTATAAACAATATAGACAGCCAAAACCAGTCATAATAATACAACGTCAAAAATATTTAACAGTAGATACAGGAAAAAAATATTCAAAAAAAGTAAGCAGACAAAGGGAAAAACAAAAAAAAAGTGGGTTTTAAGAAGTGATTTAAAAGAGGATACTGGTGATGCTAGCCTGGTCTCCTCGGGCAGGTTGTTCCAAAGCCGAGGAGCCCAAACAAAGAAGGCTCGGTCACCATTTGTCCGGAGCCTCGACCATGGAACAGTCAACAGGGACCTGCCCGAGGATAAGGCTTGTACGACATATGAAACTTACATATGAGTACATTTATATCAGACGCGGCAATAAGTAACTTTTACTGTAGCAAAGCAACAAGTGTAAAATCTATTTGTTTGTCATAGATCCAGCCACGCTAATATCAAGAACTTCTGGTACAAACATGTAACTTCAGTCTAAAAAGCTCCTGTCTCAGTCCTGTATTAGTATGATGTCATTGTTCCACTGTGACATCACACTCAGAGCAGATTATCTCCTTCTAAAACAAAAGCGTTGCACATGTATTTGCTTTTGATTTCTCGGGTGAAACCTTGTTCTTTACAAACGCATGTCTGTATTTGCGGCTTCTTTTCAAATTTTGAAAAAGTACGCAAATTCAACTAATGCCTCTGGTGGTCGCATAGAGAGTTACAAGTGAAACTGATTTTTGTTTTTTACCAATCCATACTTGTTTCTCCATGTACTCTACTTGTTACTTTGCACATGGTGACACGACATAAAAACAATGATTAGCCATGCTTCTAAGTCGAGATTAAAATACTGCTCAAGTTTGACATGTTTTGTTTTTTGTCATCTTCTCTGCTAGACTGATACAATGTTAGAAAGTCTCAAATAAACATATGGTCCGTGGAATTACGGAACAAAATTGCAATTAACTTTATTACATGCAACCCCTTTTGGAACTATGTTTTTTTTTTTTGTCTATTGAACAGCTTGAACTTTTACACGTTTACTTAAAAAGGTATGCAGGAGGATTTCCCCAAAAGGAGAGAAGCACCCTCCTCAGATGGAACGCCTATTAAAACATGTCTCACACATCACCAGAATTAGGAGGACCAATAGTCTAGATGATCCATCCGGAAGAAGACAATCCTCACATATACCTTAAAGGGAATGATTTCACTTTTAATTAAATGTTTTACATGGACCTTTTATGTGTCTGAATAAAAGACTAAAGAAGAAAGACTTTGCCACTTCTGTTAGATGGAGCTAAAAAGCACGAGATGGGAACGTACCGTACCGATGTTCTCAAAGAAGGGCCGAGTGGGCATGAAGTATCCGGAGTCCAGGACGATGGGAGGGAGCATGTAGAGGAAGAAGACATTACTGGTCAGGACGGCGGGAGGCTCCTCATTGACAGAGTGCATGATGGCTCCAACTATGAGGCCGATACTGATGAGCAGGCACGACTCTGGCACCCAAACTGTTATTTTATGGTACACATGGAACCCTGGGAGAAAAATGGACATCAGACGTTAAGGCGACAACTGACAAAGTGACACAATGAATGAGAAAGCTATTGTTGGTACTGCATACTCACCAATCTTTGCAAATGAAGCCAAGAGCACCCACAGTGTGACTTCAATTGGGATCTGTATTCTTGGGTAGTCCATTGTAAACACTGGTAAATGGGACTTTTCTGGATCTGGGTAGGCCTGGGGTTCATCAATGGGTTTAATTGGAGGTAAAATGGTAACGCTACCAGATGGTTTGGCAGGTACCTCTCCATTACAGCCAGGAGTTTGACTCAAAACACAACATAAAATTAAAAGTCCTGTCAATTTGATATCCATGATGACGAGTTCATGGGAAAAGTCCACTCCAGGTTGAACCATTCCATTAGTAAAAGTATCTGAAGAGAAATTACTAAAATATAATGCATGTAATATAAATGTCTGCAGCTCCCATGATAAATGTAAAGCTCCGGATGAAGGACAGAGAGAGCAGACCGCACAGGACTACACACCTGTGCAGTGTGGCCCTCAGGTTCCTCTGGAGCTGGGTGCGGTCTGCAGAGCCGCTGACTGGTCCGCACCCCTGAGCCAATAACAAGGTGTGTTTCTGCGACCCATTCAGGAGCCAAACTTTAGTTTCGGTGACAAAGCTTTCCAAAACACAATGAAGTTTCATCTTTCACTCTAAAACAGGTTTGCCCTGGACGCGATCGATCAGTGTAAGCTGGTCTGAGTAAAGTATATACATAATAATGATACAGCAGTAGTAGTAGTAGTAGTAGTAGTAGCAGAAGTACTGATAGTAGTAATGTAAAACAATAATACAAAGACAATGTATCGACATTTTTTTTCTTTCTAAATAGTAGTAGTAGCATAGACTGTAAAAGTAGTAGTAGTAGTAGCACTAATAATCGTAATAACAAAAATAAATATAGGTTGTTTATGCTGCTTGTCAAAGGATCTCAAAGATGCTTTACAAATGAAGGCGACATTGGAAGAAAATGTGGACACAAAATACAGTTGTAAAAGTTGTTAAGTTTACTTTAAGCCTCGTCATGTTCATGGTCGAGGCTCTCGTGTTGAATGTCTACACTCACTACATAAACGCATGTTCTCAATGATAACCATAGACTGTAAGAATGACCAGGGAGACATAAAGTGCACATGCGAGGCTGCTGAGACGCCAGAGCCGTGTGCGTGGCGCCCTCTGCCGGAGAGGATAGGCGCTGCAGCAGTAGGATTACGTCTCTAGAGGAGTCTGGGCGAGTCTGATGCAGATGCCGAGAAGAACGCAAACAGGATGCTAACGCTGTAGAGACACATCTCATCATTTCGTCAAGAGGTAGGTTTTTACTCCGTGTTGACCACATTCTCGTATGATTTACCAGTAGATCTTCGAAGCCATTAGTCTTAACGCAGCACATTGTAAATAGAACCTCGGCCCGCACCTCGTCACTGGATCTGAATGAGCCATTTGTATTGATTCAGGATGTGTTAAGAAGTGTTTGTTTCACTGTGGTCCAGCGCATCCTTCTGTTGAGGCACACAGGACCGTGACGCACGCACTCGTTTGTGAATAACAAAAACAATTTCACCCAGAGCTCCACCGGTTATTGCCCTATCTATAAATAGAGCCATGATCTGGTCTTTAGTGTGAGCTGTTTCTTCAATTGAGAGACATGCCACCCTGCTGCTGCTGCTGCTGCTGCCCCTGCCCCTGTCAAACCCTGCGACCACTCAAAAGACACAAGATTATGAAGATTCTATGTTTCATGCATTTCTCTCTGACGTCCGGATATGATGCTTAGGAAGTAGCCTCTCAGTGCCACTATTCGCACAGAGCAGGCCCCATGATGCTCACCACAACAGCAGGTCAATGTAAGAGCACTGAACTCATCATGTGATATAGATTTGTACTAAGTTGCAGTTGGTAAGTGCTATAACTAAGGCTTCTAGTTACTGGGTCTCTGAGTTGAGTTGGTAATTCTATGTTATTGCATCAAACCTATCCTCTTGTTTATAAATAGGTTGTGGGGGACAGTATTGAGACCTCCCCCCCGCCTTGCACCCAATGGTCAGGATAATGCTATACTGGGCGTATTGGAGGATATTGGAGAAATAAGCACAAAAGCTGAAATATTGATGACCGAGCAGAGAATGGGGGAGAATCAGGAACAGTGTGACAGTCAGATCCACAGTCTGCAGTACAGCTGCAGCTGACAGCATCTGCAGGGTACAGCTGTTTGTATCCACAGGCAATAACCCCTCACTGCCCACACACACACACGCACACACACACACACATGCACACACACACACAATCGCCTTCCTGTGGGGATAGTGACTACACCATTTTTCACAATTATTTACTGTATATCCCATACCATAGTGAAGGGAACAGAAAGGAGATTTATATCAATTCAATTTGTTTTTTGTATCACCTTAAGTTGTGAAACCAAATGTGAAAACCAAGATCCCCTCAGACCTCAGAGGCTAAGCAGGGCAGGGCCTGGTTAGTACTGATGGGAGACCACTGGGAACCCCAGGTGCCACAGTGGGGCAACTGTAAAGTGCCAAACTGTCGCTATGTCCTTAGGCAAGACACTTCACCCATATTGCATAGAATGAGTCTGGTGTGTGTGTAAATGGGTGTTGGTGGATATGTGAAACGTCTTTAACTGTCCAAAAAATCACAATATAAAACCGAGGCGTTGATATTATTATTATTTTTATTACTATTATTATATCACAACATTAGTTATCTCGGAGGACTTTACAAAGCTGTTGAATTCGCCAACACAGATCAGAGAATCCGACAGTTTCCTTCCTTCCGAGATGTTGTGATTTAGGGCTTTACAAAATTATATTGAATCAACAGTAATTGAATTGATTTAATTTAACCAAACACTACAATTTAAAGCATGTAACCAAGGATTAACCCGCCTCATATGTACAGTGTTTGTGAGAGTGTGACAATAGCAAGAACAAGGAAATATTGCAGTAACTATTATTTGATTATTTTTTAACGATTATCAGTTAAGCGATTTCCCTCAAACATTCCCAATCACAACCATTCCAGATCCCAGGAGCAGGGGGCGGTGCATGGGCCGTGCCTCCCTGTGGTTCTCATCAGATCTATGGTGGTGTGTCCTACAGAGCTCTCCACGCTGCACCAACCTGACGATGAGATTAGAAGAGCCATTCCCACTCACATCTCAGTCTAATGAAACATCCTCCCTGCCGCCTTAATGACACGCCACAGATGGACTTTATGACTGTGTTTCCATCACGCTCAGCAAGTGACGTCAAAACTGTCACGTGTGTAAAAATAGACCGCTGCTCATACGCCTGGGTGCTCACTACACTTTCTTTTGTTGAACGAAAGGCGCAGCAGACATGATACGGTGGTCTCTGTTACGCGTTTGAAGTTATATGAAAGGCCACACGCGAAAGAGGAAATGTTGAATTGTTTTATCCACCTCTACAGCTGCACATGGGGAGTGTACATTTCACTTTCTCTTGTTCTTTCTTGACGCTACTCTCCTTTGAGGTCAACGCTTCAAAGGTATACCTGCCGACCTCTGAAGCTAGGCAGGGCAGAACCTGGTTAGTGCTGTGATGGGAGACCTCTGGGAGCATCATGTGCCACAGTGGGGCAGCCGTAAAGTGACAGTGGCTCAGTTGGCCTTTGAGCCTTTGAGCCCGAAGGTTGTGGGTTTGAGCCCACCACAAGATCTTCTCCACCGACAGCCCACTGATGTCTGCTGTCGTTGTGTCCTTGGGCAAGACACTTCACCCACATTGCCCTGAGTCTAGTGTGAGTGTGAATGGTTGGTGGTGGTCAGAGGGGACAATGGCACATTCTGTTTGGGAAAAGTCTTTTTGTCTAATTTCAAAATCATTTTCTCATTCCCAGGGAGACATTTCTTCTATCTTTTTAAACAAGATAACGTTGCTTGTCCCATTGGCAAATCTTGGCAGTCAGAATGTGCTCAAATTTAGATTTATTTGGCCAAAATTGAGCAATTATTTTGGCATTGTGACCTTTACTGAGACATTTCAGCTCAGGGTAATTTTGATGCATATGAATTGCTAAAATGACAGACCCCTTCTTCCATGGGTCACTCCTGGACCAATGATTCCACCATTGCTTATTTAATTGAAACTGTCCTTTCTGTGTGTCTTCTAAAATATCTCAGAATTGTTCCTGTAGAATGGGGAAGTCTGTACAGTCTGTGGTCGGACCAGCTGATCAAAAAGTCACACTCTTTCCCACCACGTTATGCTACATCTCATAATATCACAAACAGAAACAGATATGCATTTACTATTCATGTCAATAATGTTCAAGATTCAACTTTAATTATTGTGCTGCTGTTCACAAACACACAAGACAATTACGACACAAGAATATACCAACATTTTGTTCAGTCCCATCAGTGCAATGATATGAAATAATACACAGATAAAAACAGTATTAAGACAAGAAGCAACAAAGTAACTGTAAGAAACCCCCCTTAGCTTTTCAAGGACAGTTGGTATTTTGTTGTAAATATGTGACGCTGCAAACCAAACTAGTTCTCTGGTATGAAATGAGACGTGAAGACAAATACTTACTTTTCTGTGTTCTGTCTGTTTTGTTTGTTTTTTCTCCCCTTTCAGTTGTGTGAAAAGTACATACAATGATTAAAGTGCTAGTGCAGAAGTACATTGCACTTGCCCCAACAAAGTGCATATGCTAATATTAAAGTTTTAAATCATTTTATTGTAAATGATAGCCCACTTGCATAACTGTCTGAATAACCTCCAGAGGACATTGAGCATGTTCCGATTTGTCTTTTCAGATTAGCCATGAGAAACTCTTCCTGGGGGCAAAAGAACAGCGAGTGTTTGTGAAGAGCTGTGTTTGGACTTTGCGGAGAGCCGGGTCTCGCTGGAACACTCGGCGCCATGTCGGGAAAAGAGCGAAGCCCGCGGCACCGACCCTGGTCCGTCTACAGGGCCAACACCTTTGATCTGTCAGCGGAGATGATGGGACTGGCCCTCGCAGGTAACCTAGTAACAGCCACCATGGAAACCAGAGGATGAGAAGGATGATGAGGATAAACATGTCTTTAATTTATATGTATCTGTTTCTCGGTGCCTCAGGAACTAGTCAGGACCCAGACGAGCCGGTGCTGGAGTTCAGTCTGGGTAGGTTCTCATTCAGAACATAATAATAATCAAATAGCAATAAACATGTTCGGTTGTTCTTTAATGAATGCTTTAAATAAACAATGTCATATCCATACTGTAATCCTCTCATTGAATAATAACAATAATAATTATTATAATTATAATTATAATAACAACAAAGGTGACTCCCTTGTGACGTGTTGATAAAAAACTAAAGGCAAAACCCACTGATGATAAAGTAACACACTGTGGTTCCATGGAGTATTTATTTTTCTTTCTGTATTTTTATATTATTATCAGTTTTATTGTATTTATTTGGAATTCATTTTATTTGGAAATAACAAAGCAATTATAACAGATACAGTTTTCTTCATCATTATACAGAAGATTTCCATTTTTACTTTGATGGGCAGATAGACTTACAGAACATTTGTATATAGATCCCTTATGCCCATATAAGGGAAACCAAGATAGTAAATAAAAGTGTTTTTTATTACATATTTATAAAAAGGTAAATTTAAATAAAGACCAGAATAGTGAACATGAGTTAAACTGTAAAATAAGTGTGACGGCTCACAAACAGGGAAGAAGTCGCAGAAAGTCTGTCATCGTTGGGGTATTGGAATTTATCAATCCAAGGCCCAGATATTTCCATAGCTGATGCACTGAAAAATGAAAAGAAAAATGATCAAATGAGAGTTAAGAATTACGTTTTTTAAAATCTTTGTTTGTGTACATTTTGACTGCATTAAAACAACATTTGCCAATGGGTCAAAGCCATTCGCTCTTAATTCATGACTTTTCACGACCATTTTGCTTTGTCCCAATGGCAAATATTGTTTTAAGGCAGTCAAAATGTGCTCAAATTAAGATATTTTGGCCAAATGTGAGCAATTTCCGACTTATTTTTTATCTCTTTTTGCACTGTGTGTCTCAGTTGCGCCTTTCATTGTCCCAGGAATTCCCTTGTATACACTCATTTTCATCAGACGTAAACAAACTAAACCGCTGTAAAAGCCAGCTGCAGATTAACGAGAGTCCGTCTGATAAGTCCTGTCCTGTACAATCTGTTGTGTTGTCGCCGCAGCGTGCAGTGAACTGGTGGCTCCTGCTCTGGACCGTAAGCCCAGCAGCTTTGTGGCCGTGAGCTGCACCACTCCGCCACAGGCCTTCTGGACCAAGCACGCTCAGACCGAGATCATCGAGGTCTGTGCTCTTCACGTCCAACACACGCTGCCTTCTTCAAATGTTTCTGCTTCACAACTTTACAATAGGGGTCAATACTGAAAATCAGAAGTCAGGAAGTTGAATTTACTGTGTAGAGCTGATACTACGGTAGAGTGGCTGAGTGGTTAGCGGTGGGAAGTGGGAACAGGGTCTTTCTGAGCAGAGTTTGCATGTTCTGTGGAGTTTGCATGTTCTCCCCATGTCTGCATAGGTTTCTTCTGGGTGCTCCGGTTTCCTCTGGGTGCTTCGGTTTCCCCTACAACTAAATACTATGCACAATAGCTTCAGCTCTGGTAGTCCTGACCTTAGCCTAGCATCAAAATCTGGAGATGTGTCCCCGGGCGCTGTACTGACCACTGCTCCTGATAGACGCCCTGGTGGCATCAGGATGGGTCAAATGCAGAAGATGAATTGCCCTATGGGGATAATTAAAGAGCACCTTTACCTTTACCTTTTGCAGAAAAAGTGAAAATATGAATGTCAAAATGTTGAGTAATACAATGTCCATCGCTTTGTTTTTACATTTCTGAAGCATATTATACTCAACAACAACAAACAAACAAAAACAGAGGTTCCCAGATCTCCATGGTAACAGATGTATTTGATGTTATTTTATCCAAATGAAGTGTCTAGTTATTTTAGGTATTTTTGCTTGGTTTTTTGTGCAGTATAGCGCTTTTTGGGAGACACAAAGACGCTTTACATGTCATTATTCTTTCACTCCATACACAGTGGTGATAAACTCCTACTGTAGCCACAGCTGCCCTGGGACACACTGACAGATTGATAGATTAGCTAAGTCGTATCATTGTTTCGATCACTTGGCTGGACTACATGATTTGACTCTTTAAAATAGTTAGAATTAAAACCTAACTGTATCAATATATCAATGATGGTCAATGTCGGTGCCAATAATCGGTCATTCCTTACTTTACAGAGAGGTCTTAGCGTTTGTATACACTGTAAATGCTGTTTTTTGTGTGTTTTCAGGGCACGAGTAACCCCATATTCCTCAGCAGTATCGCCTTCTTCCAGGACTCTATGATCACGCAGCAAACTCAGATCAAACTGTCTGTTTATGACGTCAAGGACCGAACACAAGGAACGGTGAGTGACCACTGCTCTAAGCACTCTGATCGTGTTAGGGATGGAAAGACTTTTAGGTTCAATGATGATTCTGGTTACAATTGTACCTATGGACAAAGAGTAAGAGGAAAATACACATTGTCCATATTGGTCTCATAATATTTGTCTTTGCCAGCAGATTAAGTACAATTGTTCAGGTTCATGAGTGAAATTTAGGCAAGGCAAGGTAAGTTTATTTGTATAGCACAGTTTGTACACATGACAAATAAAAGTGCTTAACAAAACAACATAGCACAAGGCAAACCAATGCATGGATAAGTCTGCATATTTTTGATCCTGGCAATGTGTTTCAGATGGTAAAAAGCTGCAGATGTTACGGATTGCAACTAACAATTTAAACTTTATTGTGACTTTTACTTATTATTATTGTGTACAGAAGGTTTATATATTTAATTTACACATACTTCTGTAGCTAAAGCTGCTTTGAGCTTTTTACTTTCTTCCAGATGTATATGTTAGGCTCCGCCATGTTTCCAGTTAAAGAGCTGCTCCAGGACAAGCACCACCGGCTGCACTTGACCCTGAGGTACCACCCCACACACACCTGACCACTGCTGACCACTGCTGACCTCTGCTGACAACCTGTCTGTCTGCATCAGGTCAGCAGAGAGCGAGCGCGTGGGGAACATCACTGTGATCGCCTGGCAGTTGGACGAGAAGAGAGACCAGAAAACTCCTGGCTCCAGGTTACAGAGAGGAGACACCGTCAATGGAAGGGTAAGACATCACGATTGTTTAATTAAGGATTATTATTAGGATCAAGACTTCTCCTTCTTCATTTTTATCATTATTATAGGTTGGCTTGCCTTCAGAAAGATATAGATAGATAGATAGATAGATAGATACAGTAACTGATGATCCAGATGAACACAGACAAAAAACAGACAATAAAAACCCCTAAACTACCAATGTTTCCTCAGCAGCGAGGTGTAGCGTACCGCACTGCACACAACACTGGACAACAAAACAATCACAGTGTTTTTGGAATCCTTTTTGAAATCTGTCTTGAATCTTTTAATCTTTTAATTAGAGTTTCCTGATAAAAGCTGAGGAACCAAACTTCCAAACTGCAAACATGGGACTATTTCATCAAGTCCCTGAAACTATTATCTTTTAACAACATTTTTATATCAGCTTTTTTACAATCAGTCCAATCAGCCATATGTAATTTGTTTATGACATTTTATTGTTGGGACAAACAAAGTTAGGTACCCCAGCTTTAAATATAAGTGTTTAAAGATAGTGTTAAAGAAGTGTTAAAGAAAACAAATGGACAACTCAGAAAAACATTGTATCAGTGCAAGACGTCTGTGCGAAACTCAAAAGCCCAAAGAATGCATGATCCTCTCAGAACTAAATCCTCAGATTCAGTTTATTTTCCATTTGCAGTTAAACCACATTGAAATACCTGTACCGCAGTGTGCACCAAGTCTCTTGCTAAGGCACAATGTTGACTTGAGGCAAATCCACGAGTCACTTAAGCCAGTAATATTTCTGCATTCATGATGTAAGTTTATTTCAGATGGTCCTCTCTGTGGACCAGAGCCTCACTGAATCCATGGGCATCAAGTCCAAGTCCTCCTCCATCTGTAAAGACCCTCTGCTGAAGGCTGGTAAATGTGTGAATGACATGAGAAACTGTGGTGTTCGGCCGCAGTGAGCTCACGCTGTTCTGTCGCTGTCTGCAGTGTTTGGAGGAATTATGTCGCGTACGTACCGATTCCCCATGACGGACGGAAACCACCTCCGCATCCTGGAGCAGATGGCGGAGAGCGTCCTGTCGCTGCACATTCCTCGACAGTTTGTCAAACTGCTGCTGGAGGAGGACGCTGTCAGGTGACCACAAGAGTCCTGATTATCATTACGACTGCAATTAGCACAATTACACCCTTCCCAGGCGTCTCTGATTCCAGCTGAGCCATTAGACTCTTGAATCAGAAACAGTTCTCAGAATCTGACATTTTTTGTTGCCATAGTGAGAAACAAGAAGTCACAAACTAGGAAATTGCTTTGGTTCTCAGTGCAAACAAGTTATAAAAGTAAAAATAGAATAGGTATGCATAAAATGAAAAACAAAATCTACATAGCCCGAGTGCTGAACCTTGAGGAACACCAATGGAGACTGTGGAGGTGTGGGACGTGCAGTTGTTTGGGAGTTTGGGGGGGGAATCAACACCTCTCCCTGGTGAACAGCGTTTTTTACCCTTCATACTTGTTTCACCATAGATTTTCTACTTAAGATTCTCAATCTCATTCTCAAACATGATCCTAAAAAGTAAAAAGCATCACTATAACATTGAATGGCCAAAATGGTAGGGCAGCAGAGCGGAGCAGTAGTTACTTTTGCTTCTCAGTAAGCAGGTCCTGGGTTCGATTCCACCTCCAGATGGGGCCTTTCTGTGTGGTGTTTACATGAAGGAAAACCAGAATAATAATCAAAATGGTGATTTGTTATTATTGATGATCATTACGACTGCAATTACCACTATTGCACCCTTCCCTGGCTTCCCTTAATCCAGCTAAGCCATTAAACTCTTGAATCTGAAATAGTCATAGCAGACATCTTTAATGTGGTGTCTATCCATTAGTCATAAACATAAAGTGAATGAGTTTCCTTCTTAATTGCAGTTGCCATATGTGATTCGGAGGCTGATGAGGCGCAGTGGGAGCTCCTCTAAAGCCTCGGGTGCACTGACACTTGATAAATGCAGTCGTTAAACTCTGCTCTGTGTCGTCTTGTAAATGTGGTGCAGAGTGTGTGAGCTGGAGGAGCTGGGCGAGCTGTCTCCATGTTGGGAAAACCTCCGCAGACAGATCATCACCCAGTACCAGACCATCATCCTGACCTACCAGGAGACCATCAGTGACCTGCACGAATACAAGGGTGAGCGACCGAGACAGAAAAGTCCATTTCATCAACAGGCTACAGAGAGTTCAGGAGTCTAAAGCTGTGTTCCCACCGAATCATGCGTTGCGGCGAGTTTCAACGCAAAGTCAATGGTGACCTCCGTCGCAGCAGGCACTTTTTTCCCGCGCAGATGTCTTTTTGCGCCGAGGCAGATGCAGTGGGTAGATGCATGCAACAAAAGCTGGAGATGAGATTCACTGAACATCCTCGCTCCACGCACGGGCAGCAACCAATCAGAGAGCAGCAAAGTGGTCACGGAGACAAGAGCCAGTCAAAATCACGAAGATGAAGACAGTCGAAAACAACCAAAACATGTCGATCCACGTGGCTGAGTGGATGTACACAATTCTATCAAGACTATTTTTGTCTTTGTGCGAAAGATTAGGGAGCGAGCAGAGAGAGCGGAGGCACCATCACATACAGTCTGGTTTAAATGTTACACCCAGAAATGACATAGTTTTGGCAGTATTTTAGAGATTCTTAATGGTAACACAAACACGTTTTTAACACACATTGTTGGTGGTTGTGTGTTGCCCTATATTATCTAATGAACTATGTTCAAATTATAGATAGATAGATACATTATTCATCCCCATTAGAAGAGATTCATTCCATACAAACAAACAAATACATCATTCTAACAGTTAGTCACAGCGGCAGAAGTCATTGAGGTGATTCTGTGGAGAAGCCAAAAGTGCGGTTTGTGCACATTTACGTTTGCATTTACAGGAAGTGGAGCTTTTTTGCCCAGAATAATATGGTATTATTATCCTTTCTGGTAAAACTACAAAATTCCAATTACAAAATGAAACTATTATAGGACACACTCAGTACACGCAAAGATAGATAGAGCATAAAAATGTATATATTTAGAAAATGGAGTGTGAATCATAATCATCAAACGTATAAGAAATGCTTGGTATACACAGTATGTCAGTTTGCAAATATTGACTGTAATGGTTTTAGATTTGAATTTGAATCACAGAAATAGATTAACTTTAACACATAAACATTGAAAAAACGTGTTATTGTACATAAAAATATATATCACACACATATGTAAAAATATATCCCACATTTCTGCCAGCGAGTGTAAACTTTTAATCACAACTGCATTCACTTTTGTCTTTTTCCTTTAGGGCCTTCATTTAAGTCTAGTACTTTAAAAACAGAGAGGAAGTTGGAGTTTATTCCCACGAACCTGCACATTCAGAGGATGAGAGTCCAGGGAGAGTCGGGCTATGGTATGTGAGTGCACTTGACATTATCTGGTTTATGTTTCACAAACAATAAGTCTGTTTTATTTTTCATGCAGACCGAACTTATGACGTGGTAACTATCGGGGCTCCTGCAGCACATCACCAGGGCTTTAAAGGCAGTGGACTCCGCAAAATGGTGCAGAAGCTCGATGATGCCAGGAAACTGTCAGTAGAACATTTAAATTGAGTATATTACAAGATACCATATATTTCTAACATCCATATTGTCCTTTTGGTGTATTTTCATGCTTCCAGCACCTATGCAGAAGATAGGTGAGAATAATTCAGCCAATACCTAATGATTCACCTGTGTACTCTGTAAAAAAGAAAAAAACTCCCACAAGACTCCATTTAAACGATTTAACAAAACATTTATTCCACAATCTTGTACACAAAATGCCTTTTCCAAGTTATCTCTAAATAAAATAAATGCGGTTAGAAAACCATCTGTAAACAAACCAAACCGTTCTCTCTTAAAGCAACGGTCACGTAATATTCTATTCTAAGTAATACAATTCCAAACTTGCTCTAAAGAGACATTCACAAACATGACGTATAGTTTCTAGCCTGGGCTTATCCATCCGTCCACTCCGCTCAATCATCATTTCTCTGCATGTAACGTCTGGGTCTCGTCCCTGTGTTAGCGATTACAATCGGTTGAATTCCATCCGACCAATCAGCGAGCACGGGAGGCGGGGGTTGTAGTTTGTTGTCGGTGACGTCAAGAGTTTGTGTCGAACGGGCTGGTTGTAGTTTGGCAATGGCTAAAAATGCAATAGTAAAGTAATCCGGTCTGGTTCTATCAAGAAATTGAAGCCGGAGCAAGAGGAATGTTTAGTAAAAGATTGTGGCGCTACTCCCCATGGGCTCCGTTAGCAGCAAAGGAGATGGCTAGGCTGAATGCATGCTAACGTCTCACTCGGGCGTTAGCATTTAGCATACTTCACGGGAAACTCAGATCCAATCGTTTCAATCTGCAAAAGGAGTTAACCCCTCCTACCTTAAACGGAGCTCAATGGAGCACCTCTAGACCTTAGTCCGAAATGTAATTTATACTATGGTGTGGTATGACCAGGCTATATAGTTTCTAAATCAACATAAAATATTAATAAAGCAAATAAATTATTATTGCTAATTTATGACAAATAAACAAACAAATGAGTAACTCTAATATACGTTATGCTACATGCAAAAAAGCTAACTAACTAATCTTAACTTGGCTCCCACAAGATGTTTAAAAACGCCATGAAATAAAATAAATAATTATTATTTATTATTATTATTTGATATTATTCATTATTATCATTTATTACTATTAATGTCCTGTATATTTGAAGTTCTTCTAGCTCCGCCTACAAAGGAATGCCCCACCAGCAGCAGGACATGGTGAAGGCCAAAGAGCTGATTGGACAGATTAACACTCTGAAGACACAAGTTTGTTACTACATTGAGCGTTTGTCTCGAGCTGCAAAAGAACGTTCATCAAATGCAATGGAGAGGACCCTGGCCATCCTCAAAGAGAAGGTACGAGCTCTGAAGCCAGGGAACAAAAGTTCCATTACACTTTAGTATCTGGTAGCGCATCCTAGCAACCTACCCCACAATAAAACCAGTAACCAGGAATATCCTTGGCAACCATGGCTTCCAGCAGCACTCTGGTCAACCACTATTATTATTTTGAGCAGCCTTTAGTTATTTATTCTTTTGATATCAAGACAATTTCGCATAAAACTATTAATGATAATATTTCACACATTTTTAAAACATAATTGAAGCATTGGATGTGGCTAAAGACATTAGGTTTTTTTTATTTTACTACTGCACTAGTGTAATGCCTGAGCCAATCCATATCCATCACAATAACGTCAACACATTATTGTTCAAATGAAGAACAATAATGTAGTTTTTAAAAAAAAATCCTCAGTTACCAAGGCAATATCACTGGAATGTTTCCTCAGAATGGCTGTTGCACACACACACACACACACACACACACACACACACACCGACAGACGTTCCTTGCTTTAATAGATAGATTTGTTTAGTTTCAGACCTTAATAGGTTCGGATGTCGCTTCACTGCACTGGAGCCATGGACTGATGTTCCCATAAGGAGTTTTGTCCTTTAATTAGAACCATCTCAGATTTAATTAAAAGAACAATCTGACAAAGTCTTCGCTCTGATTCTATCCATGGTCTTTCCTCTTCATATTCAGACACATCAGCTGGTGGCAGTGTGCGACTCCAAACTACTGTCCACTGCCATTTTAGCCCTGGCCGCTGCCCGTCCCGAGTCACCACGTCAGAGCATGCCTTCGCCCTCGGCCTCCTCCCTCTCTCCCTCCTCCAGGTCCCCCTCTCGCTCCCCCTCCCAACACCCCACCTCCCCCTCCCGGCCCCTCATATCACCGTCACGTCAAATAGTTCCACCTGACTCCAGCGACAGCAGTAAGAGGCTGTCTGTGCAGACCAACGAAGACGACTGGGTGAGAGAATCTTAAATCTAGTTATTTTTTATCATTTCTTTTTTGAGCGTGGGGTTAAAACTGAGATAAGATACGTGTTTGCAGGAAAGTATGTGGATGAATGTGGATAAAGGTCTGGAGTGTGTGATCCAGAGAGTGGAGCGACTGCTGCAAAGAGACCAAATCCAAAGCGACAGCAGCTCGGAAGACGTTTTCCTTCTTGCAAATGAGGATCAAAGCTCGTCAAATAAAGGTCTATCACATTTTTTTATTTGATAAGATAAGATAAGAGATCCTTTAATTGTCTCACAGTGGGGAAAATGTCAATGTTGCAGCGCACATACAGGACACACAAAATATACAGTACAAGTGGATGCTATGTTTCTTAGCTAGCTGTAACTTGCTCAGCTGGAGTATTTAACTTGTGTGTTACACAAATAAGACATTTAGTTTGTCCGGTCACACTTTAGTTTAGCCCTCACTAATTAACAGCTAGCTTGTATTAAGTGTATAATGTTTGGTAATTAACTGTTAATTGGAATGTATTAAGCACTTGGCCTTATCCAACATCTAATGAACTACTAACTGACACGTTCCCATGTGGGTTAAGGTTGGGGTTAGGGTTGGGGTTAGGGTTGGGGTTGGGGTTGGGGTACACTAATAAGCACTTCGTTAGCTGTTAATTAGTGAGGGCTAATGTAAAGTGTTACCGTTTGTCCCAACAGAAAGAATCTTGTAAAAAATTAAAAACGGAAAAACCAGAGCACAGAATGCTGTCTTCATCTTATTAGAAAGCATTTTATATTTTGCATACGTACTGTATCAGAAAGAGCCTTATGAGTCACTTATTTAACGCTTTGGGCTGAGAGCTGATTGCCCGAGTGAGGGTCCTCCTCTCTTATTCATTTTTGTGTCTGAAAAAGGCCAAAAATATTTGGATGTGAAAATGATTGTTTTGTTGCCTTGTTATGTTTTTGAATTATGACGTTTTGATAAATCAAACTCTAAAGGCAAAAACTCAAATAGAGGAACTAGTTATTTTGGTGGATATTATCACATTGCTTTAAGATTTTGTTCTCTCTTTGTTGTAATTTCAGACATCAGCCCAGTGGTTGAAAAGACGTCTCCTGGTAAAGAGCCATTTCTTGTGAACATAATACAGCACGCTTTAGAATTTTTAAAAAAGCATTAATTTGAGTTTATGTGTTTGTTTTAAGCTGAGTGGGGGGAGATATTGTTCCCATTGCTCACTGCGCTGTCGGACCGTGTGACCCTCATGAGCGACAAAGCAAAGAAAGCAATGATCTTTGTGCTGATGCAAGACTGTGCTCCCACTATCGCCATGAGCCTCACCGTCCAGTACCGGCGAGATGTGGTCTTCTGCCAAACAGTAAGGCCTTCGTTACAACTGTGTTACATGTGGTTTGTCCCGATGGAAAGTGGCTCGTGACAGTTAAATGTCGTGAACAAATCAGACCAAAACATGCAGTCTTCATCCAATATTCAACCTAAAATACAATAAAAACACATGTAAGACACATAAAAACACACATACAAATACAGGTCCAGGACAGAAAGCAAAAAAACGAAAAGGTTGAGAGCTGAGTGAGGCTGGTTTTCTCTTTTTTACTTTTGTGTTTGTGAGCGAGGATCTAAATGTATGGATTATATTTACTTTGTATGAGAATGTGATGTGAAAGTTAGGTATTAGAGCTTTAATATAATAGTGTTTGATTGGTTTTGTGATACTTACTGTTTTTTTATGTTCTTTTTAAAGCTAACAGCCCTGATCTGTGGCTTTGCCCTGAAGTTGAGAACAAGTCTGGGTGACGCAGGATTTCTCCGGCAGCTCCATACCATCGGTTTATTGGTGCAATACGAAGGCCTCCTCAGCACTTATGGTAATGACACGCAGAAAATGTACATTAAACAAACAAAGATGCACACTAGGTCGGATTCATGTCACATCACAACGTTCCAACGATTGTTTTACATTGTGGTGAAAGAAAGCTATAGAAAAATCTTTCCTGGTGAGTTTGGTATCTGTCAAAAGCTAATGTCTCTATTTAGATTGAGAAATAAGTTCTACCTCTGCTTTGTCATTACATATCAACTTTGGTCTAGGTATTTTCTCATAAAGATTTAGATATTTCATTAGGGTGGCTGAGTGGATAGCACTCTTGTTTTGCAGCTAACCCGGAATCTGCATAGGTTTCCCCTACCACTAAAAACATGTACAATAGCTCCCCTCTCTCTGGGGCCAGCACTTACCTGAGTTTGAGAGATTTCAATAATTGCTTCTTTTCCACAGAGTTCACTGCAAAAAAAATGATAAAATATGAGGTAACAATTGCTTGACTCGAGTGGTTTTTATTTTGATTTGAGATAAGCAAGATTTGCCAATGGGATGTATCTATTTAGTCTGATTTTAAGAAATGTGGCTTTATTTTCTCATCCCAAGGGAGACATTTCTTGTATCTTTTTAAAACAAGATCAGTTTGCTTGTCCTGTTGACGAATCTTGTTTTAAAGCAGTCAGAATGTACTTAAATAATGTAACATTTTTCATCACTTTTTGCAGTGTAGTGTTGGCACCTGCAGCTGAAATACAGTTCTCCAACATGGGCTGGACCTGTTGACATGTGTGTGTAATGCGTGTCTCTGCAGGGGAGGAGCTGGCCATGCTGGAGGACATGAGCATCGGCGTCATGGACTTGAGAAACGTCACCTTCAAAGTTACACAAGCGACTTCGGCGTTCGCACCGGACATGCTGCCGGTGATCACGGGAAACCGAGCCGGCTTTAACGTCCGGGTGCCTCTGCCGGCGGCCATGTTTGAGTCGTTGCCGCGGGAGATCCAGAACGGAATGTTGCTGCGCGTTCAGCCAGTCCTGTTTAACGTGGGCATCAACGAACAGCAGACCCTGGCAGAAAAGTAAGTCCAAGTCCTACGTTTCTTCTTCTTCTTCTTCCTCTATAGGCTCAAAGTTTGGTTCCATCACTAGGTTTCACATGTATGCATTTTTGGCCTCACACATTTTAATCAGCTTTTTCAGACAGGAAGTAGCAAGAGAGGAGCACCCTCACTCAACCAATCAGCTCTCAGTCAAAAGTGTTAACCAGTAGCTCATAGGGCTCTTTCTCACCATCAAGTTTGCAAAAGATAACATGTTGTGGTCTATTTTGTCATAGAACATGTGTTATTCATGAAATAAAAAAGGTTAGGTTCCCCAGCTTTAATGTATGCAACTGTCTATAACTTCTACAGGTTTGGTGACACAACATTACAAGAAGTGATCAATAATGAAAGTATGGCACGTCTCGGCTCTTATCATGACCAGTTCAAAGAGGTTTTACCGGCGGATTGTGAGTATAAAATTCCATTCAATTTGTTCTTGTATTACCGTAAATCACAACAGTAGTTATCTCTGAGGACTTTATAAAGCCGTTGAATTTGCCAACACAGATTAGAGAAGCAAACGGTTCAAATACAAGAAATGCAAAACACATAGAGCCACTGTATGTAAATGTGTATGTATGTTTGTTTGTGTGTGCTGTAAGTCTGTATCTGTGAATATGTATAAATGTATGTTTGTATGTATGTACTGTATGGATGGATGTATGTATGCAAGTACAGTATCAATGTATGTATACACTTTCTTGCTAAGGTATAGAAAACACAAAACAGCAATATTTGTTTTATTTTGTACTTATTTTTGTTCACAAAGCCCATTAGTCTTAGTTTTATTTCACAAGATCTCATGAAGGAGGGGTAGGCATCCATAAGCTTTCTTACTTCAGCCTTCTCTTGTACCATCAATGTAACTTGTAAAGTTGTCCCAACACAAGAATGCAATCAGCTCAAATAAATTCAAATCAATCAATCCTAAATATGTTGATAAAGTCCATAACTGTCGTAGAACTTCTGTATTTCTACAATATTCTTTTATCTCGCATTTCTGAACACATGGCTGTCTCCGCAGGTCTCCCTCGCTCCCGCAGCAGCACCAGTCTCTCTGAGCTGCTCAAACAGCTGAGCCAAAACGTCCAAGCCAAGAAAAACAAAAACGTGGAGATTTTGTGGCAGGCCGCCGAGGTATTCCAGATGGACGGCCTTGAGCGTCCATGTTATATTGATTTTTGTATATATTTATGTATGCCTCATTCTATTTGTACTTTTATAACTTGTTTACACCTAGAGCCAAAGCAATTTCCTAGTTTGTGACTTTCTGTTGCTCACAATACAAATAATTCTGATTCTGATTTTGATTTTGAACAGAGATACATCTTTTTGAGCGTGTGTTATTCAAATATATTTGTGATCCCAGGTTTGCCGCAGACTGAACGGTGTGCGCTTCACCAGTTGCAAAAGCGCTAAAGACCGAACAGCGATGTCGGTCACTTTGGAGCAGTGCCAGATCCTGGAGCAAGAGCATGGACTGGCCCCACAGGTGTTCTACCAGGCCTTGGACTGTATGCGCAGGTAAGATTTACAAATTCAAAAGTACAATCCACTGTTTATATATGTAGCACATTTTATAAAACATTTTTCCAAAGTGCTGCACAGATAAAAGTAACACATTCAAATATACAAGTCTGCCAGCTTTGAATAAAAACAATTAAGATAAAGCAATTGACTATATACATGAAAAAACATAAAAAAATAAAATAAATAAAATTGAGAACTACACAACTCAAGCAGTGTTAAAAGCCAGACATTATTTCTATCTGAATGGTTTTTTGTGTTTTTTTATCTAATTATCGTGTGGTGAGATGAATGAGGACCAAAAAAATCGAGAATGCAAAAATAATGATTTAATGAACAATATAAAATATAAGTCCTGGGTAAAAAATAGTAAATAATAAATCCAAACAAAAATCAGGAACATAGACAATGGACCAGCAACAAGGGGAGAGGAGCACAGGTACAAATGTAGACAGAGACACAGGTGCAACACATTAGAGCAGACCATCAAGACGGGGTAACAGGACAGGAAGTAAAACTAAAACCAAACCCAAACCACAGAGAACCGATTTAAAAATAAAACCAGAATACCGATGAACAAAATTCACACAAAGACAGAAATATTCTAATTTTGTATACATTTAATCTTTTTTTTTTTTTTTTTAAGAACAGACAAAACAAAACACAAAAACAAGACGATATTTTAACTGTTTCCGTCTCAGCCCAAAAGTTACTATTTCAAATCTAAAAACTCAATAAAAGGTTGCCATGTTGTATGACATTTTTCTGATTTTCCCTCAAGCCGATACCTTACCTTTCCCTTTAAAAAGAATTCTCATTACATCACTCATCAATATCAATCTATTTGCCAGTAAAGTTATAATGTGTAAGATCATAATTTGGGATTTTGACAAGTCTACAGCGACCAATGGGTTGTTTGAAATGTTTTTAATCCCGTTTTGTATTTCACAGTGAGGGATGCAGACGGGAAAATACCATGAAGAATGTTGGATGTCGCAAATACGCTTTTAATTCCTTACAGCTCAAAGCCTTCCCCAAACAATATCGCCCTCCGGAGGGGACTTATGGGAAAGTGGAAACATAAGTGGACTTCAAGAGACTATAGAGGATAACTTTGGTGAAAATACACTGAAGAAAAAGGGCGCCACACGAGTACAAACATAGCCCAGTGCGCTTCTAAGACACAACTAGTTTAAGTGCCAGAGTATGTTGTTTTTTATGTTGCAATTTTTTTCCCCTGTCCTTAACAAAGAATAACCAAAAACTATTCTCAATGACTTCACACCATCGGCCTATATCATCGTCTGTGTATGTTCTCAGCAGTTATTTTAATAGGACACTGTCATATGCCATTATGAGACCAACAGACAATGGGATTCTGCAAAGAGGACTGAGCTGTTTTTGGCGATTTTGATTTAACTGTATTTGAACGAAAGACTAAGAATCTCAAGGGTATTATTATTATTATTATTATTATGATTAGGGATGTTCCGATAACAATGGGCATAAAGGTGGTGCAGAGACCGATACCAGTCCGACAGCACACATTCTGCTCAGACATCATAACAAACATTGGTAATGGTTTGTGCTTTTGTACGTCACAGCAAGAAGGTCTTTCTGTGTGGAGTTTGCATGTTCTTCCTGTGTCTCCAGTGGTTCTTGGGGTTCTCCAGTGTCCCATACCACTAAAAACATGAAACGTAGGTGTATGAACATGTGAGGGAACAGGATGATGGTCAGGATTCGGCGTGTGACATCACAGTGAGTGGAGTCAATGGAAATTACTGCAACAACAAAAATTGGAAATTGCTTTGTGAGACCTTGGTCTGTGAAATGCGCTGTATGAATAAAAGCAAAACTTACTTACCATTTAAAGATTAACCACCAGCTAAAAAAAAATACAGATTGAATACTATGCAGCCATAAAGTTCTTTGAAATGTGGTTATCGTTTATGAAAATCTGAAAAATTCCAGCCTTTGTGACTAAATAATTACAAATGCCAGATATTGGAACATCCCTATTTTCAGTATTGCACAAAAAGTTGATGTCACTTATCAATATGCTCCTGTGTTTGTAGTGAGCAGTGTAAATACAACATATATTATGCTAAATGATGAAGCCTTGTTTGCCCAATGTAGCTACTATAAGTCTGACTTTCTGCTTTGGTTTTTTGGTGAATTTCTCTGGACCTAAACTTCCCTGCTGTGTGCTGATGAATACAACGATCTGGGTTGTTGTAGCACATTTTCTTTGTCTTTTTGACCAATGTCGTTATTTTTTATATTTATATACATATACACACTCTCCTCTGAAGCATCCTTTGTATCAAGCACAATACGCATCACGGAGTAAGATTCAGAAAAACACAAGATGCTATAGCAGTGTCCAGTGGCGTTCATATGTATGGGAGGTTTGTCTTGCTGAAATCAAGCCTTTAGAATATATCACATAATTTCCTATGCAAAAAAGGAGTGGGTCTTTCTATAGTCTGCGGACAAATGGTAAATTAAGAAGACGTCAGAAAAACCTTAGGCTACTACAGACATAGTCTAGAAATTAGAATATCATGCAAGTTCAATATGTGTGCTCTCTTGAGAAAGTTAATAATAAAATACAGCATATGTACAATAGTCTGTCTGTATATGGCTTTCCTGTTTTGGTTTGATAAAAGAGGACAATAGACCAAGAAGGGAAGGGACATATACGTGTAAATTAAGCAAACTAACAAATTAACATTAAACAGATTGTGAATATGTAAAGGAAATAAACAATACATCAGGATAAAATTTTGTGAATGTATATAGATACGTTACACACAATGAAATATTGTTTTAACTTTTTTTGTCACTTTCTGAAATTACTACAACACAATTAACCAGTTTCCCTACATACCTCCTTTCTTATAATCTGTGACATAAATTTTTACTCAAATGGCAACAAAAACATATTAAAACGGTGTTAAATTTGACTCAACCCAAAGCTGACTCACCCCGTCTTATGTGTTACGTGTTTTTCTATTACAAGAAGGAACAAGGAGGTGTTGAATTTGGACGAAACCCAATAGATCCATGAACGGAACACACACAAAAAGAGTAGGTTACGTCTGAATTCAGAAGACAATACCTTTTCATCCTTTTCTTTGATGTTCTTTGCATAACATTTACCTAATTGGCATTTAAAACATATTTAAAAGGTTTTAAATGTAGTTTGACCAAATCTGCAGCTGCCTAGTCAATAGGTCAACTTTAAATGAAAAAAGAAAGATTGGGAAGGAGATGATTCCAACGTATTTCGGCTTTAATTTTCACATGCCGGAAGTGACGTATTCATCGGACTCACTGTTGCATGGCGGGGTTGCTGCAGCGTGTCGCGGCCACTAGTGTCACATTTAAGCTGTCTGTCCAGAGGTGAGCTAATAAACTATTGTTTGCACTGTATTTACGTAGAAGTCTGAAAATATTACTATAATTATAAGTGTAAAGGTGCACTATGCAACTTTTCGGATGAGCTCTGCTTCTCGCTCGTTGCCATGGAGATGTTAGTGCTTACCCCGGAATGTTCCTTATCGTAGAACATTGTTTTAGGGCCACCTGTAACTTAGACTAGTCAAATCACGTGTTTACCTCTAGAGCATCTGGAAAAGTCACTGGAATATTCAACACAAACATAAACAACACATTTATTCAACCATGAAGTGGACCCTCCCTCTAGGATTTATGTAGAAGAAACTTGCAATGCCTAATATTCCTTATGAAATAGAGGTAACAATGTAATTGTTCAAAGCCCTTGTTTGAGTTCATGATGCATGGTTCTCGCCTTAATAGATAAATATCTAACACGTTTACAATACCTTTTGCATTCAGTTGAAAAAAAAAATCCACAAAAGTCTGTATAAATATGTCTGTTTATATGTGCCTAATCTATTGTACTATTTGTTTTTATTGCTGTCCAAAGATCATCTCCGGTTTACCATTGCTGGTTCAAGTTTGCTAAAAGATACATTTACTCTTGTAAACATTCACAGAGAGGTAAGACTTGGTGCGTTGTGTTTTTAACAGGATTGAGAGTGAAACGTTCTTTGTTCTTTGTCAGCCTCTGCCAACATGAGCAAAAAACTGTTGTTGGATGTGGACTGTGGAGTGGATGATGCCCAGGCCATCATGCTGGCCCTGGCTGCTCCTCGTGTGGACATACTGGGCATCACATGTGTGCATGGGAACACTTCTGTTGAGAATGTGTGCAAGAACACCCTCCGCGTTCTGAAAGTCTGCAATAAACTCGAGGTATGATAAATGCTGCCCTTATTTGAAATGAATCACACAAAAGTCACGCCACACAACCATGGGTATATTATGATATCACAAAACAGACAAGACCTCTGAACTCCACACTCTGCTATAATGGGCCCAATGAGGTCTGAGTGAATAGACTTCTAACAGGAGCTTTTGATATTATTCCCTGTATGTATTTCCGGAGTAAGAATCAATGTAATCACGGGTGCTAAAAAACAGATAAAATGTCACTCCCAAATGAGAAGCTTTGACCACTATGAATGGCCACTTTAACATAAGTGTTCATTCATATTAGATCTCCACTATGTATTTCATAATAATCTGCCCTGCAATGTCAACAAAATTAGAACAAAATTAATGTCAAAATTTGAAGAAGGGTGGTTGAGTGGCATTCTGGCAAAACCAAAGTTAAGAACATGCATACAAATGAAGGACGTATATGAAGCAGAATTCTATGTTAAAGCAAATCTGACAAGAAATCAAAGATCTCTGCTTGCTCAGTTGCGAACTGGAACCCTCCCCCTGGCCTTAGAAACGTGAAGGTTTACTCCCGAAGAAGACCGACTTTGTAAACTTTGTGACTTAGGAGAGGTGGAAAATGAAACACATTTTGTTTTGTATTGTCCTTTGTATGACTTCGTAATCTTTTGTATAGTGGTCTGATTGTTAAAAACCCTGTATTGTTTTGGAGCAGTGATGATGAGAAGCTAAACTGTTTGTTTAATTCCAATGTGTCTAAATTGGCTACTTATGTTGGTAAAGCCTGGAAGTGCCGGCAATCATCTTTATTCAAATAAGTTATTTTTGTATCCTGTCACTCATCTGATCCTGTTCTTTATATTGGTGTCTTATAAGCCCTTGAAAGGGCTGGGCATACAGTTGTATGCAAGACACAATAATAAATAAATATTCATTCATTCATATTAAATTACATCAGTTACATTTATACAAAAAATATTCGTATAGGCCATTCAGTTCAGTTTTTCACATTAGATACACTATCCATGCTTCTGTGGACAACATTGCACCTGTGGTCCGGTCTTCCTTGGCCCGGACTCGTGGGCTGCACCCCCCCCTCCCCACCTGGGAGCCTTCTCAGTCCTGCTCCACACAGCCTCAGTCCTCGTTCTACAGGCTGGCAGATGGAAGCAGAACCCTTTCTCTTTTTCTATCTCCTCTTTTTCCCACTTGTGTTTTTTTTGAGTGGTTCCTTCAGATGCTCCAGGACATTTAATGGCATTTATGGATATTTATTAATATATATGGACATCAGTCATCCCGCTCCAAATGGATCCTCTATGGCTCCTATGTGTTTATTACGATTGCATTTCTGTGATTGAAATGTTTGATTTTATGATCTGTTGTTGGGGAAAGGACATCTCGACTGCCAAATATAAATGGAATTGTTTATCTCCAGAGTATATGGAAAACAGATGTAGAACAGAGGAAGAGTAGATCTAGGGAACATGTACCACATGCAGCGTGCACTGGCACAAATATAAATAACACATTAATTACACACTTTTGTTCTTTTAGATCCCTGTGTTCAAAGGAGCATCCAAGTCAATTCTTGGGCATGAAGTAAAAGGAGAAAATTTTCATGGACTGGACGGCCTAGGAGACGCCCCTGACCCTAATGCCCCGAGTGTAGACCTGATCCAGAAGGAAGGGGCTGTGTCTGCAATGATCAGGATTGTAAATGAAAACCCAGGAGAGGTAAGACCTGATGCATAATGAGCGTATCACAGATATACTATAAATAAACGGTTTTGGGTTTTTAGGTGTCTCTTGTTGCCACAGCACCTCTCACAAACTTGGCTCTTGCGGTCAGGATGGATCCGTCCTTACCGAGCAAAC